AAGTTCAATTTCAGGATGCAGTTTCTTCCATTCAAATGGTTGTGGCATAATACTTGGAAAATAACTCTTTGGCCAGATTGTAACCCACAAAATAAAACTAGAAGTCAAAATTGTAGTAGTCAGCAAATTTTGTTGTAGATAAGAGAGAGAGAAGGTGAGGGGAGGAACAGTCTAACAGGCTTGTCTTTTTTGTGTGATGGTCAAATGCTCTGTTTTCAGTTGCTAGGGACCATTGTCTTATAGATATCCAGCCTTCCTTGTCCTATCAGCTTTTGTATAAAAAAAAAAAAAAACACATTCATCAAATCTGTTCCACTCAGATGACCTTTTTTATTAGGGTTGTTTGACATGGCTCTTGTGCGATCTACTTCACTTAGCTAACCTTCTTTATGAAGACAATAGCTGTCAAAACAATTTCTGTAACATCTTTCAGATGTTTCCTTTAACAAGATATCAGCTGACAACTGATATTGCTATATGTAGAAGCTAAGAACTGACCTCTGATAATCTAATACTACTATTACTTTTAACTAGTTGTGTTTTCAATATCAATTAACTGCAAACTAATGTCTACAAGATTATTATTCATACTTAAATAGCTGGAAACCATGATTCAAAAGTCCACGTTTCAGCAGAGTAAATAGAAATTTTGAACATTCTATTTTAAAATTAGAATACTTTTTTTCTTTTTCCTTTTATTAATATATTGATCTGATTGGTCAACCTCAATTATTCCAAATTGTAAATCTTATTTCAGGTGATAAGAATGAATTTTATGTGTTCTATATCTTATTGAAGTCTGGGACTAAAGCTTTTATCAGACAAACTTGTATGACTGCACATCCTTAAATCATTTATAAATAAACATTTTGAATTCAAACTTAAACATCTATCATCTCCCTTAGTGCCTGTCTATCAGATTGAGTCATTAATAATTTCCGCTTTTGTTTATCAACATTATTCTTATTCAATTCTATATTCATCCTTATTTGTAATGGCTTGTTGCCACATATTAAACAGTTTTTCAATAACTGTTTTAGTAAGTGATTTAAATAACTGTGATGACAAACTGGCTAGAAATAGACTCACAGACTGTTACTCTTGCAAGAACTCCACCCTCAATGAGTGCTCACCATTTTTGGCCTTATGTTTAGTAAAATAAGTTTAGTAAATATCAGTGGATACCTTGCTGTGTATCATTAGTGAACAAAGACCATTACTACTATTCGGTTGAATCATAAATTATTTCTGTTTTTATTTATCAACCTTATTCTTCAAAAAATAAAGAACAATTATATTCTATTTAATTATACATTCGCCTTAATGTGCAATGACTTGTTGCCACGTATCAGGCAGCCCCTCAGTAGCCTTGGAGTAAAATTCATGCAAATAAGTTCTCTAAACACCCTTAAATCCTTTATAAACAAACGCTTTGGATTCAAACTTAAACAACTACCAGCTCCCTTAGAGCCTGTCCGTCAGATTGAGTCATTAATAATTTCCGCTTTTGTTTATCAACATTATTCTTATTCAATTCTATATTCATCATTATTTTCAGTGACTTGTTGCCACTTATCAAGCAGCTCTTTAATACCTTTTAAGTAAAATTCCACAGGTTTTGATGTGAAAGTCTTTGATAAACTCTTAAAACTGTTCGCTATTTACATTATTCAGACTATTAACTTCATTTTTGTTGTCATATTTATCACAATGTTTAGGCCGTTGTACACTCCGGCCTTCTTCAGGTGGTTGGAATGTTGAACTGAACCCTTTATTTCGCTCACTGAGGACACGTCACAGTGGATAAAGGCATTAGTTAGATTCAGTGACAGGACCCAAAGAGTGTGAGTTCAATACCTGGTTAAGGCGGTGGAGAACTTGGAAAGAGGAATTAACAGGAGATAACTGACATCCATTAGACATGGCATGTGGATCTAGAACAGTCTATCCCAGTGAGCGAAATAAAGGTTTCAGTTTGACATTCCAACCAGAAGAAAGCCGGAGCATACAACGGCTGAAACGGTTGTGATAAATATGGCAACAAACATTCGGACAATTGTCCGAATAATGTAAATAGTGTACATAATACCTCAGAAATATAGACAGATACTTAAAACTGTGTTATAGACAAGCGTATGGTTGCAAGAAAGAAATACGACAACAGTAGAAATAGATTTACGTGGTTTATTTCAACAGGAATGTGAGGGTTTGGGACAGCTACCTTGGTGTGGTAAAGTTCATAAGCCGGCATTCGGATCTGGTCGATCTCTCATAGTAGTTCACACATGTTGACGGTGGTTGACGCTCTCCTGTTGACAGCTGCTGAATGTGACCGGTCTCCTTTGTGGCCACCTGCTGACTGCTGCTGAACTTCCCTGTGACCCCTTTTATAGCGTTTTTTTATGGCTTAACAGGCTGGAGAAACGAAGCGAGTATAAGTAGGAGGGAAGCATTTTTATTGGACGAAAAATAGAGCACTTTAATTATTGTTTTATTTTTCGACCGGAACACGTGTGTCAGAAACATCTGTAAAGAAAGTTAATGGTCATTTTGTGACGGGGCTTTGTCCCGTTCACATCCGGTTCTCGCTCTTGAGTATTGCCTGTAAATCAGCCGAGATATGTCATTTTATTTTATAACAACTGTTTTTCATTGGAGAAACTTTTCTCCCATCAAAGTATTTTACAGTGATCAAAAGAGGTAATAATCAGTTGGCACAAGGCCAAGTCAATATGGCTGGTTGGGTTTGAGCAGACCAACAAAGTTCCAAGTTTTCCTGTTCTGCCTGTATTCAGCCATGCATTGTCATGGAGGAGAACAACATGTTTCCTTTAATCCACTGTGTACACTGCCACTGCTATGCAAAAATTAAGATCTGTTAGTGTACTCCAGATTTACTTGAAACTGACAGAGATAATTAGTAGTTAGGATGATACGTTTGTTCTCAAAAATGGTGGAAATTATTCATGACTCAACCTAATATCTTACACTAGTAATGCTAAATAAGGCCAAATTGAGTTGAACATCAAGTAGTACTTTGTCACTTTCCCACCACCCTAATGTAGCATCTCTGTTCCTTTGGTATCTTGACTTCATGACTTTAAGTACAGTACTAGATTGGCAGTTAGATCTCATCATTTTACTGTTGAAATTGCTAAGTTAACCATAAGATCTATGCTAACAGTTTTATCTATCACATTTCTCGGTTGTAAAACACTCTCAGATTCCTGCTTTCCAGTAAACTGATTTTTAAAAATTTAAATGCAATCATCATCTTCTGTCTTTGAATCCTGTTCTCAGTTTCTTTCACTTTCTGTAACCCTTGCGTCTTAGTGGCTTTTATTACCTTGCATGAGGTGAAATGATTAAAGAAGAAAAAAAAAAACGAAACAAAAACTAATACATTTAACCAATGATTTTAAAAATAGATTGATATATCCAGATAGGATTCCTGGCTGTCTCGCATATATATGGATTTTGAAAGTTTTATTCTCAAACAGTTATGGTGTCAAATTTGGCCTTTTTTCTTTGTTAATACAGCTGTGTGGAATTCTCATTTGTAAAGAGTTTAAAGAAACCTTATTAGCTCATAAAAAGTAATTACTTGATGAACAGTTTATAAACCAAATATTTCAGTATCAGTTTTCTTGTTCCGTATCTTTCTTTTTTTTTCTTTTCCTTCTATCACTTATTCATTTCATATACTTCCTGTTATTGACTCTTCTCTTGTCTATTGTTGCTAGGAGACACCAACGAAAATGATGCATGAAATTCTGCTTTCAGTTGAGTAGGCTAATAATTTTTCCCTTTTCTCCTTGATGTAAAGGCCAATAGTACTGTAACCACCTCTCTACTTAGTGTAAGTCAGTTGTGCAGGAGTTGTTGGCAAAGTGTTCATTATAGGTAGCATCTCACTATCTTTAAGATGACCTCTTCACTGGCTAACTAGGATGTTAATAAAAGCAATAGTCAACATAAGCAGTTTTATACACTAAAGGGAATTAGGGCCTTTTCATATGTCAGTGAAGCTTATGTTCTGCTTTACTATAACTAAGACAGTCATGTGGGAAGTAGACTCAAGTCATTTTAACATTTTTTTTAGACTAAAATTCTAAGAATGAGTTATCCTATCCTTTTGTTCTAAGAAATTTTTAAATAATTTTGAAACTTTAATATTGATTCTAACCAATTTTAAAGCAAGGCAATAATGCTACTAAGACAGAAGGGGGTTACTGGTAGTGAAAGGGAATGAGAAGACTTTAGGGAGGTGAAAGGTCAATAAAGAACAGGAAGATGGCAATTGATATTGCATTTAAATTTTTGAAGATTGTAGGTGGTAGGGAAGCAAGATATCAGAAGGGAGTTCTACAGGTGAAAAGTGCGTGAAAAGAAACTATTAGAATATAACTTATACATCTAGCTATTTAACAGTAAAATGAGACCTAGTTGCCAATCTAGTAGTATGCTTAAATTCATGTGATCATGGTACCAAGGAGGTGAGCTCATTAGAACAACTGCCATGAAAATGTTTATAACAGAGGGAAGCCATGTCATGGTAGTACAGAAAGTTTCTGAAGATCTCGGGTTAGAACTGATAACACTACGGACCTTTCCTTGGATTTTGTTGAGAATCTCAAGATATTTAGCCAGAGCACCAGACCAGACATGGCAGCAATATTCAATGCATGGATGAATGGTAGATTTATAAATGTGCAAAATGGATTCTGATGAAGAAATTTGTTTGGAATGACATTGATTGATTTGCTTTTATGGCTTATCAACCCTTTGCAGGTTATTTAAACCAAAAAATATTTTTAGATTATGAAAATTTTTGGAAGATAATAATGATTTACTGATACAAGTCCTACTAATTAACCCATAGCTGGGGAGAAAGGATGTAGATTCATACCTTTCACAATGGTATTTGCACATAAGGGAATATAATGGACCCAACTGGAACTTCAATCTGTTGACTATTATATCACATGCACATCCAAGTTTACAGTACTAGTATTCTCTAGCAGTCACCTATCTAGATACTGACCAGGCTCGACATTGCTTAACTTTGGTGATCGTATGAGAACCGGTGTTACAGCATGATATGCCTGTGCGACAGCACAACACAGTCAACTAACCTTCTTTATATCAAACCTAGCAATTAATTCAATATACACTCCACTTCTTGTTAGTAGAAAACATGAAACCAAGAAGGTGCAATGAGTTGTTCTCATGGATTTTTATTATGCCAATTACAAATTAAAATTCATCTCTTACTGTCATGGAATACACATATTAAGTAATTTCAAAGACTAAAATCTAACATCCTCAACTGAAATTTTAAAAAATTCTAACAGACCTTTCCCATTATTTCTATTTTCTGCAATTGTCTTCACAATCCTTTCACTGTCCTATTTATAAAGTTGCTACATAAATCAATGTCATCAGAAACATATTTTCCTGAAAAATTATTTTAATACAAAGATTTTATAAATTTTAACTGACAGTAACACTAGCTGTTTGTTCAATGAATGCCAAATGTTTCCATGTTAGTTAACAGCTAATGTTACCATTCATGTTAACCTACTTGTGAATGTCTCTTCATTTTAATTTTGACGATTTAAAATCTTATGTAAGGTTTTCAAATGTAAAAGTTTAATCAATGGTATTATCTAAAAGATTTAACTTTAATTTAAATCATCATCATCATCAGTTTCATGACTGGATGTGGTTGTAGGGTCATTATGCAATTAAGCATCTGACCCAGCTTTCTCCATGTCTCAGTTGCATGCCAGTGTCTGACTGTGAAAGATCTTCCAGTTTACTTGATGATGTCAGCACATTTGTTTTTTTTTTGTTTTCTTTTCTTCTGTCTGCCTCTTTTTTTTGCTAAAAGTGGTACTCTGTAAGATGGTGGCAGATTGTTGGCTCTTGTGATGTGTCTATACCATTTAAGCTTTCTCTTTTTGACAGTGATTGTCAGGTCTACAAATGCATTTGCTTTTTGTTTGATGCTGTATCGCAGTCATTTGTGATGCTGTCTATGTAGGAGGTGCCGTCTCGGATGGCTCTGTAGGAGGTGCCGTCTCGAATGGCTCTGTAGGAGGTGCCGTCTCGGATGGCTCTGTAGGAGGTGCCGTCTCGGATGGCTCTGTAGGAGGTGCCGTCTCGGATGGCTCTGTAGGAGGTGCCGTCTCGGATGGCTCTGTAGCATCTAATTTTCTAATACTTGATTTCTTCTTAGATTTAAATTTAAATGTCAGGTCCTTTTAATATATTCCTAATCATGTTTCTTCTTTTCATTAATATTTGTAAACTGTGCATAGCTGTACTTATTGTTTTGTTGGGGCAGGGATGGTTTAGAGATTTCTCACTCCCTTTTTTACAGTTTTGAATTGTCCTTCTAGGCTGGTTGCCAGCCAAGTCTTGATAACATAGTTTACTCTGCTATCTAACCTATAACTTAGTTATAAGCGAGATGGATTCATGCCTTTTTCAAAAGTATCAGAGCAAAGTAAGCACAAACTATTTGAATCAGATGCTGTTAACTTAGATGTGTGGGTGGTGTAATGAATAATGGCTCAGAATTGTTAATTGGAGAGCAGAGTTGGTTTTGTTATATTCACTTATGCACAAATACCATTGGGGAAAGATATGAATCCACCTCTTCTCACCCCAGCTATAGGTTAATCAGTAAGACTTGTATCCCTAAAACCATTATTATATTTAAAAAATAAAATGGTGTATAAAGTATTTAGATTTTTGCATTAAATAACCCATAGAGGTTTTGATATGCTGCTAAACAAAAACAACCAAAACTATTTAAATTAGAATTTAAACCCTACTTATTGATTTCATCTTATGTGTTGTTGATTGTTACCTCACTTGCCTCTTGTTATGTCCCCCACAAAATGTGTCCTTAAATCTACTCGCATCCCAGTTATTTCGGTGGGGATATGTTTTATTGCAATGTTCTCATTAACCTCCCTTTAGTAAAAGAAAAAAAATAGTGGCCATCATGTAAATATTCATTTGAGAATATTAAAATTACCATGGAAATTTTTATGATCCTTTGAGGATTTTTTTTTAAAATTACTATTTATGCAAAATGATACTAATCTCATGTAAGTCATTGATTATCCTATGGTTGGTTGTTTCTAAGCATTGCCAACTAGAAATAAATGACATAAGTCTTCACCAGTGGCAACAATTGAATCTATGCAGCAAGTCATTATTTTCACTTGATAACAACATAATCACCAGTGAATTAAAGCAGACATTTGCTTTCTAGACATTGTTACACATATTGTAACTAACCAACTATCTACTATATGGGATTTTTTAACATTATTACTACTTTATGCAACCTGTGATACCATTCATGAGTTGGAATTAAATATGTCGAAATTTCGCATTCACTCTAACGATTACATAGACAATGGAGTGCTGAAAAGTTCTATGTCCAGCAAAAGAGATCCCCCCCCACACACACACACCAGAAAAATCTGTTTGGTTAGCTTTCAGTAAGTAGGTTGCTCAGAACTTTTCAGTGTCCTCTCATATAGCAACACATGCAGCATGTTGTTTTGGAGGGAGGGAGAGAAGAAAATAAAGTAATTACAGTTGTATTTTAAAATTGACTGCATTTAAACCTAGTATACACTGGTAATTTAGATTTACTTATTACATCCCACAGTCTTTATTGTTACGCCACTATTTTCTTCACTTTCCTTGAGCTATTTTTCTGCATATAATACTTAAATAAATGTCTGGTAAGAAAAGAAAAATTTGCAAAAGCACCAAATGTTGCCATTTTTAACATTTGCATTTGTTTGCAAAGGTTTTGGCACTCTGTTGTTTATTAAAAATGAGGAAAAAAAAGAACTATCAATGGTCAGGAAATAAGGCAAGCATTTCTGATAAAATACAGTGATTATATGTATATAATGTAAATGCTTTGTTCCTGATTTTACTGTTGAATTTCATAGAAAAACAAGAGGATTATCAGTGGTTAGAAATTAAGGCAAGTCTCATTGATAATTCAGTATCTTGAAAAGTTTTCCTTTGTTGCTTATACAGCACTGCACTAAGTAATAATTAAATAGATAGAAAAACTAATTGGTAGAAAACTTTTAGGCAAAAAGTTTTCTGAACCACCTGCTGTATAAACAACATGGTCTTTGTTCAAAGCCCATATGGTTTATACAGCAATTATGCTGACTAGACTATAGCTATAGTTTCTGGCAAAGATCATATAATCTGGCATGAAGTTTTTGAACAAGGCCAATATGCTCAGATCCTCTGTCATGATTTGTGATTTTGTGCTATTACAACCATCAACAACCTCTAAACAGTTCCGTCTATCCGTTTTGACTCAGAAGGCTTGGCTCAACCTGTGGTATGTTTTACAGGCACTTTCCAATGGTGCCATATAATGAGATAACTGCTCTCGAAGCAGATGTTAAGAAGTCACCTTTCTGACAAATTGACCATGGTGACTCCCCCTCTGCCATTTCAAATAATGAAAAATACCATTGTTAATTATAACATACTAATTTTATTTTGTTTCTTGTTAATTTCTTTGGTTATTTTTTTTTTCTTTTAATGAAAAGATGAATTGAGAAATAATATGCAAGAGAAAGTGTGAATATATTCTGATTTAGGCAAAAACTCCAATCCATATGAAAATAATTTTATCAGTTTGACTTAATGAAAATAATCAAGAAAATGCATAGAAATCTGTTTGATATTACATTTTTTTTTTTTTTTTTATTTTTAAAGTGAAGTGCAATTGCAAAATCAGTTTTATATTTCTGACATTTTTCAACAGTATAGGTAAATTCGTTTTTCTACTATGTTTACTTGTGTGTCTCCATGATTTTCTCAAAGTCTATAAGTGCTAGACCCATAAAACTTTGTATATTCTGAATTGGTATTATTTATTTGGAATAATCATAATTTAATCCTCAAAAGTTAATTTTTTCATGCAGCATCTAATTGTAAGTTTTGCAAACCTCTTGATACTCTCGTGGCAGACTTCCACCACATTTATTTAATTTTGATTAGGAAACCAAACTGATTTGAAGAAAGGACAAGGCAAAGGTATCATAATATTTAAAAATTGTATTCAACAATGTATACAATAAAGAATGTGTAAGAAAAAGCATGCAATGAGTAAGACGAGAGTTGTCTCTCTTTGACTATCATTGTCTATCAAAGTTCTCTGAAAAGGAAGAGTTAATAGTTTGTAATAAATGTTTTTTTAACAGTTTTGCTGTGCAAGTGGAAAAATTATGTAAGTGTAAAGGAATATGCAGTTTGTGAGTGTTGAGTGAGAAGATTGGCGCATAGCTTCAGCTGTCGTGTATTTCTGTGGCAGCTGAAGTCTCACTGGTGTGTCTTTTTTTCTTGCTTTTATAGGTGATTGTTGGATCAGAAGTTCTGTGCAGGAAGAATCACTCTTCATGTGCAGACAATCCGATTGGTTGACACTGACCAATCAGTGGATGAGCTTTGGGGAGATTTCTGGGAGCCGATTCTTCTAACAATGCACAAAATCTAATATACAAAAATATAGCGATTTCAAAATTGTCGCATAAGACAGTAGCGTTGATTTTTATCCAATGAATGATTGTTATTGAAATTTGAATTTGTTTAGGTGTGTGTGTATGATGATCACTATACTCTGTTGCTGTTTCCATAGAAAATGTTCTAACAAGTTACAATAGTTTCACTAACCCTGACAATTAAGACCCACCATGCAATATATACACTGAGGTGAACTACACTCATTCCCATCATATTCCATTAATAAGAAGGAAGTTCCACTTGAGCAGATTCTTCCCACAAACTGCTACTTTGTAGGACTAACTCTCAAGTAGATGTTTTCTGACCCCTACCATCTTAACCTCTTCAATTCTAGGGTTAACTGCTATCTTTCCCATGTATCCTCATAAACTGTGTCTCTTACTGCACAAACACCAACCTCCTTCAGTAATCCTCTACATTGATTGACTCTCGGGCCTTGTATAGGGGGAACATTAGTAAAAAAAAAAAAACAATTTAGTTTTTACCATTCATTACTTGGTTTTTCATTTTTGATATTTTGTAGAAATTCTTTCTTTTTTTTTTAATATCACTTGTGACGTGATATTTGTCCTTGATAAAGTAAGGTACGTACTATTAGTGTTTATTTTGCTGTTTAGTGAGTACAATTCTGTCTTTGAAAATAGGGAAGAGGACTTGAAATATTTTTTATGCTTTTGTCAAGTACAGTTTTATTGATAAATATTTTCAGTGTTGAAGGTTTTGTTTTTCTTCAGAAAAGTCTCACATTATAAGATGTTTAACATTTACCTTTTTTAAGCAGTGTTTCATTCAATGCTTTGCCTTCATCAGGTTTACAGCTTGTATGTATAGGCACTTGGCTGAGTGGTTAGAACATTTGACCATGAAACCCTGTGTTCAAATCTGGCCATGGTTCACTTCTTGATATCGTTCGGGTCAGGCAATCCCAGCATGTTCCCATTGGAAAAATATCTGAAAATCATACCACTGTGAGTGAAATTATGCAGATGAAACTGTTCAGAAACTGTTATTGGTTGTGCTAGCATGAAATCACAAGTCATTCTGACCGAGGCTTTGCACCAGCAGGCCTTGTTGAAACTACTGATCATGTTGGATTATATGGTCCTCTCAGCATAGTTGCAGTTTAAACCACAGGTGAGCCCTGTGGCTGCTGAACAAATGTACCCAAGTAGGTGTCTTGGACACTCTTACACTATCACACACTAACATCTTAAATGTTCCTCACACATACATTATCTATTATGTTTATACATGTGATGTGTGTCTGACCAATGAGAACTATGAAAAATCACAACATTCCAGTACTCTGGTCTTTACTTTTTCATTTCTATTCTTGATATCTGACGAAGCCGTAATAAAGGTGAAACCTGTTAGATTCAGATTTGTTTCTTTGTTCTTTATTTCATTTTATATGTGCCCACTTGGAAATCTCTTGTGTTTTAGTGGCTTTTTTGTCTTGCTTGGGGTGAAATGATAAAAAAAAAAAAGAATATATATAAAATTGTGATATCCTTCATCAAATTATATGATCAGGACTGTGGCAACAGATTTCAATGACAATGGAAAATCCTTTGTCAGGTTCTATAAAAAAAAAATAACTAAAAGAAACTTTTAAAAGATACTAAGACTAACAACTATACTACTAAATGGCTTATCAGCTTTGGTTACTGGATACTTTAAAGGATTTTTATAGCTTCCTCATTTGAAAATGTGAATGGAAAATAATACTACTTTACCATAAGCTCTTAATTGGTTGTGTTCCTCTTCAGTCTATTTTTGATTTCCTTTTTGTCTCTAAGAGTTGACTTTTTTTTTCCTGATACCATTATGACCTACTATTCCCTAACACATATGCATCTACATTACAAAGTGGTCTGGGGTTATTCTATAATATATGGATGCAATGGTTTAAGAACAACAATCATTCTCGTCATCCAACTACTCTTGGTATATTTAAAAGAAAAAAGGGTTTTCATTCCAGTCATAAAAGCTACATAATTTCTAAATTCTCTTGCACCCCAAAATCTACAGTGATACTCTAAAAATAATGTCTCTTATTTATTTTTATGGAAATTACAACAGATACATGGAGCTCATTAACATTGGATAGAGCAATTATTCAGATACAAAACATAACCTTTCCACGTAACCATTTGCTATGCATTTTGCTCGCAATGAACAAGAGCTGTAGGTAGTATGTTTCAGCAGTGGCTGAAGTACACAACCCACCACTTAACTGTGCACACATATACTGTTTGGTCTCTAAAAAGTTAACAAGTATGAATGAATGTAAGTAGAGACAATTTTTTCTACATGGAAAAATTCAATTAAACACCATTACACATGTACACTTTTATGTCAGACACCATTTTGCCAGATGAGTATTTGTAACAAGGTAAAAAAAAAAAAAAAATATGGATGCCAGGTAGGAAAATTCAAACTTTGTCATATCCCTAAAATCATGTGAATCATAATCTAGCAGACATTACCTTCAGAGCAACCTTGCCTACTTCTGAAGATAGAATAATGAATGCAGATACAACAATGCAAAATAATATAAAAGTAATTGTTTATTGATTCCTATTAAAACATTTTTTCTCACTTTCTATTTCTATAGCTAATTGCATTTGTTATGTAGGAAATTCAGTCGTCCAGGTTTTTTTTTATATTAAAAATCTGAACATTCGAATTCCAAACAATAATAAAAAAAAAAAAAAAAATAAAAGAAAACATGGGTATGCCTGTTAAATAAATCTTTTATATTTGCAAACATATACATGAACTCAAGAGTCAAAAATGATTAAAAAAAAAAAAAAAATAGTCTTTAGCTGGGTTAGTCTTTGGGTAGTTGGTTCACAGAAAAATCTAGTTTAGAAGAGACTTTTAAATAGTTGATACACAGAAAAAAGTTGTGGTTGAGAAAAGACTTATCAATAGTAAAGATTCACTGACCATCTTTGTTGGAGATGATTCATTTGAGGTCAGCACATGTTGATGTTGTAGTCATGTCTTCTCTTTGGTTTGGAGACAGATGCATCTCTGCTTGAAAGTTGAAATCAGTGGGTTTATATAAGAAGTGGAATCTTTTTGGCATGTTTGTAATATGTTATTGGATAGTAAATAAAGTTTGGACATGTTTTAATATGGTATGTATGTGGCAATTTAATAGTGTTGGAAATCTGGTTTATTTCCTATAGTAGCATTGATTTAATTTAAGAATAACAAGGATTTGTGTGAGCCAGTCTTGGCTGAAAAGGCACACTCTCAAAGTATGTCATTAAGATTTTTTTCTTTTCAATCTTTACAAATTCAATTTATCTTTTTTATTGTCTCCAAACCAACTTTATAAACATTTTCTATAAGAAAACAAACACTGCTACACCAAGAGAATATCAATTCTTTTATTTTCACACCTTGTCATATTGCTATAAGACATTCTTAATAGCATGAATAAAATCCAATATATTTTACAGGGTGTATCACAAAATTTTTTTAGATTTACTATATATTTTTCTATATGAATGGACTAAAAAATTTAACTAACATATAAATTTTTTTTAACCATTTTTTGTTCCAGGATGCCTTAGTTATCAAATTTTCAGTGCAAGGTGCTTGTTCTTATTATGAAAGAACATCCAACTTGGAGACTGAAAAAATGCCAAGAAATTTTGCCAGAGTTCTTTTTGAACACGACATCAAACATTTGTTTTTGTTCCATTTTAAGCTACTAAATTTCCATCCTTTGCTTTTGTTTCAAATTACTGTAACAAAAGTTTCAACAATTAAATAAACTCTACCAAATTTCTTTTTTTTTTTTTTGTGGGGCACTCTGTAGTTTGACAATCTATGTTATAAAAGAAAAGCTGATTCTGTCACACACTGTATGTAATATATATGCATACATCTGAATTGTGCATGAGTGATTTAAAAGTACTAGTACCATTTAACACCACACACACACACACACACAATTTGACTGAGTTTGAAATAAGACATTGGAAGTCTTACGGTCACATCCCATTGAAACCCAAGTTCCTGTATGAACACTGAAGTTAAGCAATGTTGAGCCTGGTCAGTACTTGATGGGTGACTGCTTGGGAATACCAGGTGCTGTAAGTTTGGATGTGAGGATGATGTAATGCATAATGGCTTGGAGTTGTTAATCAGAGAGCCAAGTCCTAATTCCAGTTGTGTTCATTATATTGACTTATGAGCAAATGCCCTTATGAAAGGTATGAATCTACCTTTTCTCTTCTCAGCTATGGTTAATTAGTAAGAATTGTATCACTGTCATTATTATTTCAAAGAAAAACTTCTTACAATCTAAAAATATTTTCTGGCTTTAAATAATCTACAAAGGGTTAAGCCATAGAAAATTGGAATAATAGATTCCCCTCTCACTATGTCTGGACAGCCCCTACTCCAGACTGAGCAATAAAATCAAATTTGTAGACTAAAAAAAGAAAAGATTAACAGCTTCATGTTCATCAAACTGTCCCTTTGCTTACATGAATGTATGACTGAAATAATAAAAAAAATTAAACATTTTTTCTCATACCTACAGTGAGAGAGAGTTTTAGTATTTATTCTAGCAACAACCCTAGTAAACAGGAAAAGGGTATAAGCCAATATATGCAGCCCTTTGAAGTCATTTTTATAACTCCTATATTTAAACTGAATATATTTTCTAATAAATGTAGTATTTAAATGAGCAAACAACTGCTACTAACCAAACTAGTTATACAAAAAAAATAATGCTATACAATTTTTACTGGATCAGTAAGAATTATTTTGATCTTTATTTCCTATTCATTTTGGTTGAGAATAGCCAAACAAAATTGATCCTGCTATGATTATCTTCTTGAAATGTCAATTGGCTCCCAGAGAACCATGCATTTCATTTTGCTTTCAGACTTCATGACAGTTATTTCCATGGCCTTTCCTGATTCCTTTTATATTTCAATGTTAATCCAGATAATGTGGATACTTGTATCTGCATATATCTTCAGGAAATATAGCTTAACACCCACGTAAGCAACTGATCAAAAAGCCTGGAAATACAGATGCTATTAGTATGAAAAAAATATTTAAAGCCAAAGATATAATAATTTTTTACTATTTTTTTAATACTAATATTCACTCAATAAAAGGCCCAATTGCCACTCAAGGTAGATGATTACTGAATGGGATTGTTGTGTGAGCATAAGAGAAGGTTGAAAATATTTTTATATTGTAAGAATTTTGAGAGATAATGACCGATACAAGTCCTACTAATTAACCCATAGATGTGGGGAGAAGAGGTGGATTCATACTGTTCCCATGTGTATTTGCACATAAGTGAATATAACAAACCCAACTGGAATTAGAACCCGGCTCTTTGATTAGCAGTTCCAAGCCATTATCCATTACACTACTCGCACATACAAGTTTACAGAATTTGGTATTCACAAGCGGTAACCCATGCAAGTAATGACCAGGCTCAACATTGCTTAACTTTGACGTAAGGATTTTGTTTTGTTTTAGATAATAATAGTTCAGTGATACAATCTTACTAATTAACCCATACCTTTCTCAATAGTATTTGCACATAAGTGAATATAACTAAATCAACTGGAATTGGAACTCATCTCTCCAATATACAATTCCGAGCACCTGGTATTCTCAAGCAGCCACCCAACTATGTACTGACCAAGTTTGATATTGATTAACTTTTTCAGCATAATAGGAGAAAGCAAGAAGTTCAGTTTATGAGAATGTGTAGAAAAGATAAGTTAACCTTATACTTGAAAAGGTTTGTAGTGATTGGAAAAGCATCCTCTCAGGAGTCTGTTCCACAAAATAGTAGTTTGTAAGAATCTGTCTGAATTGAACTTTATTAATAGAATACAAGTGGAATGGAGATAGTTTATCCCAGTGTACCTGGTATGGCAGGTCTTAGCTGTGAAGGTCAGAACTATTGGAACTCAAGAATGTAGCTCACCAGAACATTTGACATGGAAATAATGATAGAGTAGCAAGAGGTTTGTGACCTTTCCTCTCTATGAACGTCTTTGTAGAGTGGGAAATAATTCATCAGCTTTTCTATGTTGTCTGAGGGTAGGGATGATGAAAAATTCTTTCCAGAATCTAACAAAATATTAGTGTTTTTTGTTGTTGTTTTTTGAGGGTGGGGGATTCTTAATTGGGCTGAAAAATTTTCAGCACCCTCTTGTATTATTATCTGCCCTGGCATTTCCCAACTTCAACCGAGGGAATCAGAATCCTCACACTCCTGATAGCATTATTCTTTTAAATGATTGATATCACTCACTGGCTTTAATATAACTTTGCTAAGTGGAAACTTGAGATGAAGCTATATCACTTGAATGTTATTTTATATGTACATGAGTGCATTGACTTGGAGAAGCCAGTAAAGGACTGCTTTGAAGGGTTGAAGGTTGAACATTTTCCTCGGATGAAGTTCATGAGTACAGTAAGTGTCAGCTGAGTTAACTGTTGCAAAAATATACTTGAATTCTTTCCATTAAGGCTAAAAGACATAAGCCAAAATTCTAAGCCAAATAAAAAGGCCTTTTCAATCTAGAAGTTGTTTGGAATATTGAACTCATTCTTTATATAGCCGAGATTGACCTAAATACTTTTTCCTTCTCTCTCTCTCTCTTTCATTTCTCCTAACACTGTTGACATATTGTATTAAAAATACAAAAGAAACATTGAGCTTGAAAATAGTTTAAAAAAGAAAAAGAAGCCTTTTTGCAATATTTATTCGTATTTAAGCATTGACCAATTTACATTTCCTTTTCCTGCGCAGTTACCAGGGTGTAACATTTTCTTTTAATTGGTTTACGAGCAGATGATTCCACTGCTGGCAGCTATCTCTAGAAATTTTAATAAATTGAGCTGTCACAAGGAATTGGAAAGATACAACCCCATTTCAATCGCCCACATGTGCAGTGTTATGGCTTCTGTTAGATAACATACATTTACTTATCTTCTTCTTCTCTGCAGCTGCCTGAGAATAGTGGCCAATAATTTGAGCTGTTTCTGTAACATGAGGATTTATTAAATACATCAACACTTTCATTTACTTGACCAATAAAATACAGGAGGTGTTCATGCCCCGACAGTTACTAGCAGGGAATCTAGAATTCAAAAAAAAAAAAAAAAATTATTTCACAACAAGCAAAGCAATAAAACCACTAAGACACAATGGGTTACTGAGTGTGAAAGAATATGAGAAAAAGAAAAAAAAATAAGGAGGGACTAATAAAATAACAGGAATTAAGAAGACAATATAATGATACACATCACATTTAAATTTTTGAATATCAAAGTTGAAAGCAAGATTTCAAAGAGCTGCACAAGTAAAAAGTGTAAGACAAGAAAATGTTAGCATAGAACTTATGGTTACATTTAGTAATTTTAACTATAAAATGTGACCTAGCTGCCAATCTAGTACTGCATTTGTATTCATAAAGTCAAGGTACCAAAGAGGAAAGCTCATCAGAACAATTACCATTAAAATATTTATATAAAAGGAAAGTTACATTATGGTGATGGAGAAAGTGACTGAAGCTGAGATGCCAGGTGAAGATGAATAACATTGCAATTGTTTGAATTCTAAATCAGTTTGTGTGCTCACTTTGTCCTCATGCTCTTTGGTAAGTAATGAATTCATTTCTTCCATTCACATCTATAGTAAAATAGTATAGTAGATTAAGCTCTATAGCCTTGTTGGGCAACCAATCTTGGTATGGCCAACACTGAATGTAAAACTTTTGCAGCCATACCTACTCATGGGAAATGCTTTGGAAATAAACTCTTTTGGACAACATGAGAGACATGGGAAGCAAGATTTCTTTGTATGTAAGCCTTTTCCAGGCTTGTACACTTTGAGCACAGTACTTTTCAGAAGTACATCTTTGATCTTGTAATTCATAGTCTTGTCCCTGAATCAGAACAGATGTATTAATATAGAAACGAGAACAAAATAAATAATAATCAGTTGGATTTTGTATTGATTGGATTTTAACACAGCACTGCTGCCCACTGACTATTTTACCTCTTTGCTTGAGTTTTTTTTTTTTCACTAACAAGTTAAATATTTTAATGGAAGGAGAAAAATATTAAGCAAAAAATCTTTGCAAATTTTTTGCCTAAAATTTGAGCAAATTTTGGTACACAATCTGGATATTGTTCACTGAAAATTTGGAAGAAACAGATTGTCAAAGAATTTATGTTAGTACAACTGACATAATAAGGCTATTATACCCTTTCTCTTACACTTCATTTTGTATGTGCTATAAATAGTATTAAAATATAATCAACACTAGTTACATATAAATGCTGGGTTCTAATTAATAATAAAAATATAAACAAAAAGATAACTTCTGGAATCTCTACTTAGGTATTTATAGGGATGATGTATGCAGATTAGTTATGAATGAATCTTGAATACATGTCATCAAGAATATTTTTCAAAAACATTAAAATATTATAAATTATAGTATTTTTATTTTTGAAGACATTAAAGAACATGGAGAAATTGAGAAAAGTACCATTCTTATTTCAGGTTAATAAATATGTAATTCAGTTTGCTTAAATTCTAACATTATTCCTTGTATGAACCCATATAATATCTGTAGGGAGTGAAATGAATGAACTTAAATTTTTCCTTTTAAGCTTTATCGCTCTCATCTGCTGTGCAAAAAGTTTATCCTGCCACTGAAACTGACTCTGATTCATGAATTTTAATTTGTTTGAATTTCATAGTTATTTTATCATATTGTGCTATGGCAAAAGAAAACACCTTTTAAGTGATATTAACAATATGGTTACTGCAATTAAGAGGCCTTGAAAAAGAATGTAGTGGAAAGGGAAGAAATATTAATAATGCAGAGTGCTAAAGGTTAATATCTGACAGAAATGTCAAAGTTAATACAATAAAATCCTTTTAAAGAAACTCCCTTGATTACAAATAGATATGCCAACTGATTTTTGAAACCTACCATACTCAAAGTTATGGAGATTGCAAATTCATAAATACACCTTTTCAAGCAATTAATAAAGGTTGCCTGTAACAGGATAAGGCTGACCCTTCACTCTTCTTCTTTATT